ACACTAATTTATTTATTATACATGAAAAATAAAAGCCGTCCTTGATAATCACAATATTATTTTTTTTAAATTTTCTATTAAAACAAAAAAAAAAGAAAAAAGAAAAAGAAGTGGTTGTCCAATGACTTAAATCTAAAGCTATAGCCAGAGAACCTACAGGTTCACTGTCTAGCCTAAGTTAACTAGGCCGGGCACAACTCACAGGTTCACTGGTCTAAGCTTGAGTTCAACTAAGCTGGCCACAACCTACAGGGTTCAACTAAGCTAGCTAGAACCTAGAGGTTTACTCGGTCTAGCCTGAGTTCAACAAGCTAGCTAGAACCTAGTGGGTTTAATCGTTTTAGCCTAAGTTCAACTAAGCTAGCTAGAACCTACAGGTTCCGCTGGTCTAGCCTGAGTTCAAGCGTTGAAGCCAACTATAACTTTACCATCATCCAACCACTTTGGTGCCCTTCGCTTGAGTCGTAAGCTAACCTACTTAGCTTGGCAATTATTAGAATTTCAATCACCCCTTATATTCAAGACATTTTGCGTTGCTTTTAAACCGATGTGGGATTAAGTTTACCAATATTTAAACTTTACACTTCTCTCTTCTAATTAGATTATGAACGATGTGGGATAGATTTACGATTCTACTACTACCAAATATTTAAACTTTACACTATAATCTTTTTTCTAATGAGTTATGTTTCCTTCTCTCCGTAGTAGCCGCCATCGTCGCACCGTCACCGAACCGTCTTTTTGTCTTCCCCACCTACAAGGACCAACCGCATCCCCTCTCTCCCTTTCCTTTCTCTGGTAAGAAATCTAATCCTTCACTCAAATGACTAATTCTTATACCATAAGTTTTGTTAATGTGTTTATATACCACATGGTTAATGTTTACATAACTTAATTGTTAAAAATCCACCTACTCTCCACCTACTTCGCCCACTTAAACCTACTCCAACTTAAACCCTAACCCACTACACCAATACCACCCTCACCTACTCCACTAAACCTAAACCCATCTCATCCACTCCACACCTTCCACTTCACCTACTCCTTACCTACTCACACACTCACCCTCTTCTATATAATAGGAATCATGAATCATTGTAGATAGATATCAATATAAATCATCAATAAATAGCAATTCTCTATTTCTCTTTATACATTTAAATTTCTACATGGTATCTGAGCCGGTTTAAAGCAAACTGTAGTATTTTTTCGTTTCACAACCGGCGGGCGGCACCTCGCCTTGGCCGCCCGCCGGACTTCACCTACTTCCGCTTATTTTCTACAACATACCCTTCCTCACCTGCCGTAAAATCCTCTATCTCTTGAGGCCAATGTGAATCCTCTTCTTCATAATCTGGCACTAACTGTGGCATCTTTTCATGGGCAAAACTCTGGGCAAACCCAACACAATCTAGTGCTTCTCTCCATGCTCATGGTGGCCTCTTGTTAGGCATCCTTACCGCCTTCGGCTTTGGTTTGGGCTTCGCCACGCCTTGGCTTTCCTGCAGCTTTCAGCTTCACGGCAGCCTTAGGCTTCAAAGCAGCGGCTTTAAGCTTTTTGCAGCAGCGCTTTGTCTTAGCCGGAAGCCTTCTTTTCCTTTTTCGCTTTTACAGCCTTCGGCTTTGCAAGCAGCCTTCGGCTCTTGCTCCTCTGGTGGCTCCCCAGGTTCCACCTGAGGCTGCATGATCATTTATAGCTGCAAATTGATAAGGAAGTATTAGAACAATGCGCCCATATAGAAAGTATGCCTAGCTGCTCCTTACCCTAGCCCTGGAGCACTATTATGGTTGATGCTTTCAACATGCGTCATCCTTTTAACTGGTGGAGGAATGACTGGAAGCCCTGTATAAGGTGTTTTGTGCATCTCCGATCAAGCAAGGGAAGGAAAGCGTGACAGCATGTTTTGATTATTTGAGCCTTGAGGTGTGTGGTTCAACAGGACCAGTGGCTTTATCTCTGGTCTAAATCTAGCCCAATTGAGCTTGATACTCCATTTCTTTGCTTATAGCCATATATGGTGCTGGCCGTACTCTTGCTTACCATTTTCCTTCCCCTAAGCGCCTGTGGATAGCAGTCTGAATTATTTTTGGGTGCATCGGCTATCATTTTTTTCCCCTCTTTCTCTCACAGGGCTTTGTCCCCTCTCTCTCCTCCGTTTGAATTTCCAAAATCCATTATAATTTTATTTATTTTCTCCAAAACCACCTTTCCTTATTTCCCCCATCTTTCATTTTGATTCAAATATATTTTTTTATTTCTTTCTTTATTTTTTCTTTCACATTATTTTTTAATCTTTTTCCAAATTCCATTCAATACCAATAGCTTTGGCACACCAAACCCATCTTTTAAATTCATCTCAGGGATCAACCCCGATCACATTTTAACAAAACAAAAAAAAAAAAAAAAAAAAAAAAAAAAAACACAACACCCAACACCAGCAACACCACAAGATTTGTTTCTTTTTCTGCAGACGGCCACCCACCGACCTCACTTTGTTCGCATATTCCGCCGGTCTTTTCTTCTTGCCTCCGTCCTGGGCGGCCCTTGACGGTGTTGCTCCGTGTGTTCCCACTCCACTGGGAACAATCACTCCACCCTGCTCCTCCACTACAGCATATGGTGGACCTCAAATCGGAACCCGGTGGCCTTCCGCCTTCGCTCCTTGTTTTCCTGTCTTTAGCACACTTAAATCCTCTACTCGCGCATCCTTATACAGTGCGTTGAGGCAGAGCTCAGCTGGGAGTTAACTGTTGCACCTCCATTTTGTCCTGCTCTGCAGCCGGTGCGATAAGGTTTTTGACCGCAGTCATGGTTTCCACACATGACTTCAGAGTATACTGATTGGCCTCAATATCGTTTGCAACGCCATTTTTTGCTCCCACCGAACCGCATCGGAAAAGTTCAACGGAGGCAACAACCAGAGGTGTTTGGTTGTAGGTTCACTGGCCACCGCCACCAAGTTATTCTCTTGTGGACTCGTTCAAATGTCTGGAAAAGAGTGGTGAGCAAACCCGGAAGAGGAGGCGCATGTTTCTGGGTCCAGCTGGACACGGGAAGAAGGGCCATGTTGCTGAGGTGTTTCCAGAGACGGGTTGGTTACAGAGTAAGTTACGAGTTTCTTTCTCCCAGCAAGGAAGAGTTGTTTTCAAGAGGATTTTCAGAAGTTTTTTTGCTGCCTCAGCCTCAGCATCAACGCTTGGTTAAATAGGCAGGGCATACCACGCGTATCGCGTGCCTCTTGCGCACCAGACGACAAAACGGGCGCGCAGCCAAGGCGCCCACGTGCCTCGCCATCGCATGTCCGGACACGTCTTTTTTATGGATTGGGCAGCGCCATTTGATGGGCACGTCTTTTTTAATGAATTGGGCACGCCTTTTGATGGCCACAGCGCCTTTTGAAAAAGATTAAGGCACACCTTTTGAAGGGTGCGACTTTTTAGGGTCCCGATCACGACTCTGTAAACTGTCCCGACAAGTTGATTCCAGTTAGCATCCTTTATGGTCCGACAAGACTCCCGTAAACCGTGTCCCACATAGATTCCGGTTAGTTTCCTACAAGGGTCCGACAAGACTTTGTAAACTGTCCCGACGATAGATTCCGGTTTATGTTTCCTGACCAAGGGTCCGACCAAGACTCCTGTAAAACTGTCCCGACATTGATTCCGGGTTAGTTTCTACAAGGGTCCGACCAAACTCTGTAACCCTGTCCCGACATTGATTACCACGGTTAGTTTCTATAAGGGTCAGCAAGACTCCGTAAACTGTCACAAACAACTGTCACAAACTATGTCTGCTAACATACGGTCCGACATGACCCCATAAACTGTCTTCTACAACGGGTCCGACATGACCGCCATAAAACTGTTCTTCTACATCGGTCTGACAACCAGTATGCTATCCCAGTGGTCCTCTACATTAACCGTTATGACAACCACATACAGTGTCCTCTACAACGTGACACCCCCATACAAAGTGTCCTTCTACAACGTTATGACACCACCATCCAGTGTCTTCACCAATGGTCTGACACGACCATACAGCTGTCACCCTATCCTCGTTTTATTTTTAATGTATTTTCTTGTTTTGTTACTCTCCGCTCCAAAAAACCCCTCAGTTGGTTAGTTCCTATCACCCCTTGAGTTTGCGGGGGGCTGTTAAAATCCACCCTACTCCTCCCACCCCTACTACCCACTTAAACTACTCGCACTAAACCCTTAACCCCACTACACCCACTACCACCTCAACCTACTCCACTAAACCTAACCCACCTACACCACTACCACCTCCACTTCACCTACTCCTTAGAAAAAAATCATCATTTTTATGTTTTGTAATCATCACCAAGGACTGATCCACAGGGTGCGAAAGTATATATTTAGATTTTCAAATTTTCAAGATCCGTCCATGATCATAACAACACTAATTTATTTATTTTATACATAAAAAATAAAAGTCCATCCTTGATGATCACAATATTAATTTATTATTTTCTGCTACACGTAAAAAAATAAAATAGAAAAAAGAAGTGGTTGTCCAATGACTTAAACTAAAGCTATAGCCAGAGAACCTACAGGTTCACTGTCTAGCCTAAGTTCAACTAGGCCGGGCACAACTCACAGGTTCACTGGTCTAGCGTGAGTTCAACTAAGCTGGCCACAACCTACAGGGTTCAACTAAGCTAGCTAGAACCTAGAGGTTTACTCGGTCTAGCCTGAGTTCAACCAAGCTAGCTAGAACCTAGTGGTTTAATCGTTTTAGCCTAAGTTCAAGCGTTGAAGCCAACTATCAACTTTACCATCATCCAACCACTTTGGTGCCCTCGCTTGAGTCGTAAGCTAACGCTACTTAGCTTGGCAATTATTAGATGTCTCAATCACCCCTTATATTCAGACATTTTGCGTTGCTTTTAAACGATGTGGGATAAGTTTACCAATATTTAAACTTTACACTATCTCTCTTCTAATTAGATTATGAACGATGTGGGATAGATTTACGATTCTACTACTACCAATATTTAAACTTTACACTATCTTTTTTTTTAATAGATTATGAACGATGTGGGATAGATTTACGATTCTACTACTACCAATATTTAAACTTTACACTATCTCTCTTCTAATTAGATTATGATGTTAAAACCTATCACCTACTTCACCCACTTAAACCTATTCCACTAAACCTAACCCACTACACCACTACCACCTCCACTTCACCTACTCCTTACCTACTACACACTCACCCTCTTCTATATATAGGAATCATGAATCATTGTAATAGATATCAATATAAATCAATCAATAATACAATTCTCTATTTCTCTTTATACATTAAATTTCTACACTTATGTCACATTGTCGTTTTGTTTAAGTAAAATTGCTTCAAATCCCTTATGTGGTGTGGTTCCATTTTTCAAGCACTAAATTACTTTGCAAAATAATGTGCTGAAGTAGGTATATTAAATGTGAAAAATGACGTCTTGATTGTTAAAGTATTTACAACGTAGCTGCTAGAATCAAATCTTAACAGATTGAAATGGCTGATAAGTGACATGGTATGTTATAACCATTATGGCTGCACAGTTTCTTCTTATTAACAAATTTCCTTCAGGTCATTTCAGTCTTAGAATGCATTGTGATAATGGAGTAGACGTGGCTAATCAATCGGAATTGCAGGGTTCCCATCCAAATTAATTAGTTTTATTGGGAAGCTGATATCCAAACTTCAAAAAAAAATTATTGGAAAGCGGATAGCCAAACTTCAAATAAGACTTAAAACTCAACAAAAACTTGATTGCCAG